TTCTCGAACTGCTATAAACCTTTGGTGGTAGGCAGGAGCTTCGGCAATTCTCGGTGAGCGTGTTGGGTCACCTTGGTCACCTTGGAATGTTCGCAAAATAGATTTCCTGTCCTGGTGTGCAATGACATCACTCGCACCCGAAGGGGCCGGGTGTACCTGACCTCTCTGTTTCTGGTTAGCTTAAGCAAGGTAGGTACTTCGTCCCTTACCTTCCATTGCTTCTGAGGTGCTGTGGGTGCTTGCTGAAACAGTGTCGCAGTGGGCGGGAGGCACCTGCCAGCGCATCGCGTTTCGACCTCCCCTGGCCTTCTGGAAGGAGCTACACAGCGACAGACTGTCACTGACTAAGGTACCTGGAGCAATGAATGGGAGGCAGGAGGCCCCAGCGGTGACTGCTCCGTACAAAACACCCGCCAAACACTTGATGCGGACTACTTTACGTAAGCTTTTCCAACTCCGAGCGCGGTGCCAACAGAGCAACTGACGTCCTTCCACGTCGTTTTGAGGTGGCCCTGTTCCACCGGTACGTACCTCCAAGCTCGTTTCCGTCAGGCACTCCGTACTCCGTACGCCAAAATCTTTTTGATGCGCCAGGGCCGATCCGAGCGACCTCTCACTTCCTCTCCTCCTCCTCCTCCGACCACTCTCATCACCAAACCACCAACGCGCATCTTCTTCCACCTTCTCCCCCATCGCGAGGCTCTGCTCTATCAGAACCCCGTTCTTCATTTCACTCTCCATCGCGAGACACTCACTTCTCTCTTCTCTACCCTCACATTTCTTTCAGTTTCTTTCAGCCAAAAAGTCAGCATCACCAACATCATGTCGCGCGGTGGCACCACCTTGTACGTGACTGGCTTCAGCCACGGCACTCGCGCCCGAGACCTCGCCTACGAATTCGAACGGTATGTCAACTGAATATCAGAAACTCCCACGTCGATGCCTCCGTCCGTCCTGTTTTCCTCCCGGCACGCGAGAGCCTTCCGAGATTTCCGATCATCTCTCCTTCCCTCGCTGCTCCCCGCCCACGCCTCCGTATTCGTCCTCCGCCCGTCCTCCCGCTCTCGCATTCGCTGCTCCCAGCCTCATGCATCAACCCAAAGATGCCTCCCTCGCCCGTCCTACGTTTCCGTCCTCGTCCTCGCCCTCCGTTTCCCCGTCGATACGTCCTGTCCTCGTTCGCTTGGGCTGCCTCCTCCCAACCCACCGCCCGTTGTCCGCGCCGCTGTGGCCTGCCAACGCTCCGTGGCGCACCGAACACAATACAGCTTCCTTTTGCTGCGCCGACGACGGCCGACGTTTGGTCTATATCGGATCAAACGGACAACCTCATGTATGTATCTACGTGCTGACGTTCTGACTCGAATATAGCTATGGACACCTTGTCCGATGCGACATCCCTGCTCCTCGCTCGGCATCCAGCAGACTGTGGGTTCACTCTCCTCTCGCGTATCCGCACAGATCCGAATAAAGACTGACACCATGCCAGGTTTGCCTTTGTCGAGTACGAGGACCGTCGCGATGCTGACGATGCTTATCATGAGATGCACAACAAGCGCATCGGTCGCGACGACATCCTGAAGATTGAGGTAAGGCGGTACGAGACGCAGCTTTGAGGGACGTTTGCTGATACGCTACAGTGGGCTCGCACCCCTCCTTCCGCCTCATGGCGCTTCGACTCTGGCCGTGACCGTGAGCGCGCTCCTCGCCGCTCCTCTCCCCGTCGTGGCCGCTCGCCTTCTCCTCGTCGCAGCACCCGCGACTACTCTCCCAGAAAGGACGACCGCCGGGACCGCGACCGCGACTATGACCGTGGCGACAGACGCGACACCCGCGACCGTTCCCGCAGCCCTGACCGACGGTGTGTTGACTCTCCTAGATCTTTCAAGAACTCTCCCAAAGAACCCCCCCTGGGCCAAGGGCCCCTCAGAAATGCCGAATTTGAACTAGTGATCCTGACTGGTCAGAAGTGATCGAGACGCCAAGGAAGACCGCGAAGACCGGGAACCCCGTGAGAACGGTACCAACAGTGACGATAGAAAGGGTACGTAAACCGGCGACTAGGTGTGCGTTGGGCTGCATCGTAAGCTAACACTCGACAACAGCACTGGACAGCCCTCCCCCTGCCCATGACGACCTGGACGTTGCTGCGGAGTGATAAGTATACCTGGCAATTTCTCTTGTCGGGCTGTGCGCGGCTGTGCCAAAAGTTTTTCTGATTTCTCACCCGGTTCTCCTCTCTCTCTCACACCATCTGAATCCTGGATCTGTAAAGTGTCCTCACCTTCTGGGAGATATTTAGTCTCGATGCGACCGGTCCGGCTTCTTCGAGTTCAGCACACGACACCCCGGGCTGTCCGATGTTGGCAGCACCCGAGTCACCAGACATACCTATCCAGACTCGATATCGGCGGGACATACGTTACGGAAACGAACGCGAAACGGCGCGAAATTATTGGCGAGGCGGTCTTTTGAAAGCATTACCCCCTAGTAGTTAGAAATTGACATGTAGGTTTTTTACAGCAGCCTCCAGATGTGGCCTGATGGCTTAATTTGAAGCTCTTTGACACAATTGAGCTCAGAGTTGACTGAGTTTTGATTTGGTGATAATCCGGCCATGACCCTGATCTGTTTTGGATCGTGTAGCAACCAACCATATACGTTGGTCAGGGAAAATTCCCTCTAGAGCAACGCCTAGTGAAGCAGTCCACGTGTTTATGGTTGCTGAAGCAATTCCTGCGTTATTGAAGCAGTTGGTAAAAATATAGCCTGCCGTCTCTGCGTGTTGGGGGCTCTGAAGTTTGTAAAAGGTGTGGAAACGCAACTGGTTGAAATCATCCACGGAAAGACATTGAAGCGGAAGGTAGGCAACATACCCTGTGACTTTAGGTAAGGGTTACCAAACCATTGGCCAAAGGCATACGGAGTATTGTATAAAGTAATCTGAGAAAACCGAATTGCTACTACCCAAACCCAGCCGCCTATTTTGATCACCCATGTACCTAGGTAGTACACACCTCAGGTTGCTTTGCGATAGCGAGCTGCTTGTTATTTGCTTGCTAAATGTCAACACGGCAAATAGAACGTTCCGTGATGCAATGCGGGGAAAGCTGGAGGAGGGCGGGGTGATCTCCGAAGACTAAAGGCAGGTAGTTGGGTGTTGATAGGGAGGATCCGGAGAGTCGGGGTGCCGAAGGGAGGGTTTCTCGGCAAACTCGCGCTGATGTGACCCGGACGCCGCCGAGATGGATGAGGGGAGAAAATGGAGGCACTGCCGGGTTTGGGTCTCGGGATTGGCGGTAGTCGCTTGGGATAGTTTGCCCAGGCAGGATTGGCGGTGTTGAACAGTGTTTGGCAACCTGGGTGAGAATTGCAGCAACACGAAATCCTGGCTGAACTGTGCCGATGGGATGTGGCTATACCTGTTCTATCACTGTGAGTGCGAGATGACATATCATGAGTTCCCGGGTACCAAGATTCTCAATGTGGTCATGTGTTCTTGCGAGCCTGTACCGTAGTCTTTTCACATACGGAAGCTGGCTACCCCATTTTCCCCCAGATTGTCATCATGGGAGTGGAGTTCGAAGCGAGGAGAGCAGCAAGGCCGGAGAGCCCTCCATCCACTCAGCGGAAGCAAGATTGTGATTTCAAGAAGAGAGGAAGTTACCAACTGAAATTGAGCTGTTCCGGCAGCTGACATCATTTTACGGTTTGATTTGATTGTTAACGGGTGGTATCAGCGGATAAAGGGTACGCCGTGGTTGGTTTCCAGTCTTCAGGTTACAAGAAGCAGCCGCCTCAAGAGGGACAGGTAGAGGTACCGGGCGAGATGTACACATTCCGAGGTTCCTCAGCTGTGGTGACCAACGGACACTTTCCGTGCCCAGAGCCGGCGGGTGAGCCACGGCCGCTGTGGCCCGCGGGGTCCCCTAGAGACTGTCCGCCTTGGGCTGATTGAAGTGCTGTCAACTGCCCTGTAGCCCTCAAATTTGGAGCCAGTTACATCATCGCAAGTACCCCAAGTACTTCGTCGAGGTCCCAAGCAGTCACTTTCCACCATCCGCCTGGGAGGGAGCTGAAATTCGATCTGCGTCGTTGGGATCTGGTCACTGCGTCCGCCCCTTCACAACCAGCTAATTCGTTCCTCGCGACCTCCAGCTCTTCCTCACACCTCGCCCCTCGACGACCTGTCACCGCATCCAAAGACCAAAGACCAAAGGTCTCGGCGCAAAAGCTCCAAGCTTGTCGAGGCTCTGCTCCTACACATCGCGCGCCTTTTGTCAATTACGCCGGCCCCCCTCACCGTCCGTCTCGTCGCTATTCTTTCCTGTCCCCGTCGACCGAACCGACTCTGTTAATACTCGACCTCAACCTCTGCCCGTCCCGACCAAAGGGTTTCTTGCTCGCGCGTCCCTCGAAACGATCCTCGTCTGCTTCGTGCCAAATCATCAATTCGTCGAGCACTCGTTTACCCTCGTCAACCGAATCGAAGCGCCCTGCCCCTGCCATACCTTCTTGTCATTGTCAGCTTAGCCGCGGCACATGCGAAATACCCTCGTCCAAACCCAGCAACCAGAAAAACCCGCGATACCCACGACCACCGCACAGCCGTACCAGCTCGCGGCCACGAGTCACCTTTGATGCTCGAATCCTTCTCCTCTCCATCTACTCTCCGCTCGATTATGCCTTCGTCGTCGTTACCATTCTCCTCTTAGAATCTCTGAATCTTGTTTTCTTTGGACTTTTTGGGTCATTCTTTTCCCCCTCCAAGCATACTTTTTACTCTCGGCGCTCCTTCTCGTTCCTCCGGAAAGTCGCAAACCTCATCGAGTACCACGAGATCCTTCCGCCTCCCGCCCTCAACAGCCTTAAATGCAAGCACAGTCATAGCAATCAGGTGGCTTCGGAGGCTCAGCAGTGTGGTCGTCAATCACGAGTTTTGCGCTTGCAATAACACGCACACATCCATCCGCACTGCTCCTTGACCAGAGTCTGAAGTCATGTCGCCTGTAAGTGCCACCCGTTCTCAGCTGCTGCATTTGCAAGCATCCTTCCTGCCCTGCTACATCACTCTGCCCGGCCATCTATCAAGTTTCGTCTGCAGCAAGTCAAAGGTTTGCTGACATCCAGTCTACACTGACAGTCTCTCAATGATGCGGCGGTTCCTGCTGCTGCTCCGGGCCCAGCTCCGGAACCGGTCAAGTACCTCTGGTTTCGCGATACCTTTTCCCAGCCCGTCATTGCCGCCTTCTGCGCTGGCGGTGTTGCTGGTGCCGTCTCTCGAACCGTCGTCTCCCCCCTCGAGCGTCTCAAGATCCTGTTCCAGGTCCAGAGCGTAGGACGCGATGCCTACAAGCTGTCTGTAGGCCAAGGTCTGGCCAAGATGTGGAGGGAAGAAGGCTGGAGAGGCTTCATGGCTGGCAATGGCACCAATTGTGTGCGCATTGTGCCGTACTCTGCTGTTCAGTTCGGCAGTTACAACTTTTACAAGCGGGTGAGTACCACGCGCCTTTGACCACCTTGTGCTGGGTCGGAAGTGTGGCTCACATGAGCCGCTGCAAAGAACCAAGGCTAACGCGGCACGACTCACAGAACTTCTTTGAGTCTTCTCCCGGCGCAGACCTCTCTCCTCTCGCCCGTCTGACGTGTGGTGGTATCGCTGGTATCACTTCCGTCTTCTGCACATATCCTCTCGACATTGTTCGCACTCGACTGTCTATCCAGACTGCTTCCTTTGCAGAGCTAGGCCCTAGGGCCGAGAAGCTCCCGGGCATGTGGACTGTCATGGGCACCATGTACAAGACGGAGGGCGGTATCTCTGCCCTGTACCGTGGCATCATCCCCACTGTCGCTGGTGTTGCCCCCTACGTACGTGGTTCCCCTGTCTCGAGATGAAATTGGTCCTAGGCTCTAACTTGACGAAACAGGTCGGCCTTAACTTCATGGTCTACGAGTATGTACGCAAGTACCTAACCCCCGAGGGTGACAAGAACCCCAGCGCCGTCAGGAAGCTGCTTGCTGGTGCCATCTCTGGAGCTGTCGCTCAGACCTGCACCTATCCCTTGTGAGTCGACATGGCTGACGTGATTTATCATTCGTCTTGCTAACAGATGTAGCGACGTTCTTCGCCGAAGATTCCAGATCAACACCATGACGGGCATGGGCTACCAGTACAAGGGCATTACTGACGCTATCCGGGTCATCATCACTCAGGAGGGCGTCAAGGGCCTGTACAAGGGCATCGTCCCTAATCTTCTCAAGGTTGCGCCGAGCATGGCATCCAGCTGGCTCAGTTTTGAACTGTCACGCGACTTCTTGGTCTCTCTCAGACCTGATGGTGACGGCGAGGCTGCTCTCTGAGATGAGATGTAGCTCACATTACTTTACTTACATCCGATTGGGCTCGTCAAGGGGACCTTCGGTATGAGGATTCCGACGATCACCAGGGTCAACGGAATGCCTTTATTAGACGGTGGCTGGCATAACAGTCACATCGAGGCAGAGAGACTGTCTCTCCCCGGGTTGTTCCTTTCCAACCTGGCATTTCAATCACCAGTGTTTTGATAATGTATTACAACAAGACTCCAAGAGAGGCGAGGACGTCATGCGAGTTTCCTGCATGGCATCATGGAAACGTGAAAATGGGCACCGCTTTCCCAGAAGGATCGATGCACAAAGAACCAGATGGGTAGACCAAGCAATAGCTCAATACAAGACATGGATCGAGCTCACAAGAGTGCCTTTTATGCTGGTGAGGTGGTAAATGCTTATACTACGTCAGCTAGAGGTTAAGAATGGGAGCATCTGGGCTATTCTAAACTCTTTGTCATTCGTACCTTTGTGAAGAAATTCTCTGGCTATATGGACATGCACTGGAGTACCTCGGTCAACATTGCCTTGACCGAAAAAGAGGTCTTACCGAGACTGACCGAGGATGCAGGGGACCCTGCAGACTTTCCATAGGGTGGGTCCGTGCAGGTCCACCGTTCAGCAGGAGCGCCCCTCTGGAAGAAAAGGACCCACCGGAAAATTTATTGATCCACTCGACGTTGATTTCATTTGCCCTAAAGCCCACACAGCCCGATTTTTCCGCCTGGCGAGGAGAGCGTAATTCTAGTGTGGCCCAGCGGAAATCTTTTGAAAGTTTCTCTTTTACACCGACGACGACAACATCACGGCCGCCCATTTGACTCAATTCGCCAACTTCGGGAGTCTATCGACAAAATGGGTACGTAGGAATTTCCCCTCTCAAGCCTTTACATGCGAGTGGAATTGTGCAACGCGCGGTCCTTTTGTGTCTCTCTGATTGTCCTCGTCGAAATACTTGGACCTGGTGAGAGATGAATCGGATCTGCCGTTGCCTCTTCTGCGAACTTGGCGCGGCGAAAGGAAAAGGAATCCTCTCCTCACCACAAGATGATGATGCCTTCGTCTCTACTCCTGCGCTCTGCGGGGAGAAATAGATTCGTACCAGAGCTCATCGCATCGTGGTCGACGGATGATGGACTTTTCTCGCCTGCATTCAGAGCATGCTTGAACAAAAAGGCTGACGATTGGGCTCTTCACCCCCGTTTATAGGTATCGATCTCGACCGCCACCACGTGCGCAGCACGCACCGCAAGGCTCCCAAGAGCGACAATGTGTACCTCAAGCTTCTCGTGAAGCTGTACCGCTTCTTGACCCGTACGTTGACCTCGATCCATGAACCCCGCGACGAACGAAAGAAAATCGACTAACCTTTTGCAGGTCGTACCGACTCCAACTTCAACAAGGTCATCCTGCGCCGTCTCTTCATGTCGCGCATCAACCGCCCTCCCGTCTCCATCTCCCGCATTGTCGGCAACCTGGACAAGGAGGACAAGCGCACCGTCGTCATCGTCGGAACCGTCACTGACGACAACCGTCTCCTGACCGTCCCCAAGCTGACCGTCGCTGCCCTGCGCTTCACCGCTACCGCCCGCGCTCGCATCACCGCTGCCGGCGGCGAGGCCATCACCCTCGACCAGCTCGCCCTCCGCGCCCCCACCGGTGGCAACACCCTCCTCCTCCGCGGACCCAAGAACTCCCGTGAGGCCTTCAAGCACTTCGGCATGGGTCCCCACAAGCACAAGGTACGATCATACCGCCTAGTCCAGAGAAAATGCTACGAGAACAGTACTAACACCCTCTGCAGAAGCCCTACGTCGAGTCCAAGGGCCGCAAGTTCGAGAAGGCCCGTGGTCGCAGAAGGTCCCGCGGTTTCAAGGTCTAAGCGTTGGTGGTATTCTCCATCATTGCTTGGCTCTTTTTCACTCTGGGGTTCGGTCGTGCGTGGCCTGGTCGCGCAGGTATGGACCAGAAGCAAGAACAACGCTATCACAAGACGGGTGGCGTGGGGTTGAGATATCCCCTGCGCTTCCTGTCGTGCTTTACAGGGAACACTTTTTCTTGCATGGTATGGCGTGGTTAGGTATCCAAAAAAGAAGAATTGACGACTACGAAACCTTCTCTTAATGGCGTCGAATGGTATCTCTTGGGCTTGGGTTTTTTTACCACTTTCATTTTGGACTTGCCCCTTTCTGTGACTCGCATGTGTGATGCTGTGTGCGAGATGTGATTTCTACCACGTCCATATCGGTTTGTAGACCAACTGTGGTCGTAGAAGAGCAGCCTATTTATCGGAGGTGAAGTCTGCTTTACCACGGACGTATGCCCCCTTCTCGACGATAAGTACTGGACAGTACTATTGTCCCCGCCTCTCGAATCGACGACAAACTGCCATCACCAGTCCTTGACCACCTTTTTCACCCTTTCCGATTGCACTCTACCTCACCCCACGTTCTAGACTGTAGCCAGTCCCATCTCCACGATGACATGAAGCCATCGCGAGAATGATCCTCGAAACAGCCAAACTCTTCGTTTGACCGCTATGACTACTCCCAAAGCTAAATATTTCTTGTTTGTATTCACCCTGTTTCACGTTTGCATACCGTAAGTCTAGACCTTGCTAAACAAAAATTAGCAAAGGCAGTAGTAGTCGTTGGGTTGTAATGATGGGAAAGAGTGGGAAGGTTTTGTGACCTACAGTTTATTCTACAGCGTATCATTGGCCCGATTGGTTTTGATAATCTGCCAAAACTTGGGGCGGATATACTCGAGTAGACTTCCTGTTGGTTTTAGGTGCACTGTTGATGTGAGGAGGGGCCACTCTCTCCATCTTCTGCGTGAGGTGTAAATGAGGTTCCGACCGTACAAGTAGCTTGGATGGGCTACGATTATCGTCAGTATGGTCTGTAGGTGGCCCCTACGTGGGCCCATGGCCACGAGGTCGAGTTGGACTTCCAATCCGGCACTTGCTTACTTTAGAGGGGGGAAATAGACATCTGACTCTCTTCGATGGTTGAATCGCCTTATGGCTTGCAACATGTATCGCGGCCCCCAGATGCAGGAGCGAGTCAATATTGACAGAAACGAGTTCAGCTGAACCCATCCTGACCTGGATCAGTTCTCACTTACTGTAATGATCGGCAGAGTCATAGCAGAGACAGACTGGTCCCACCCCTATCTCTGGACGACGGCCGACGGGATGAAGCAGCTGGAAACAATTCGTATGCATTGCCGGCAGGCAGACCTGCATATACGGCGGAATTGTATAGTTTTCACCCGCGAAAGCCGGATTGCCGTCTGTAGCATGATGGTTCCCGTGAGGATCTCTGTTCTGCTTTGAGGGTGTTGAGGGGAGAGACAAAAGGCGCCTCTGGGCGTATGAAGCGTCGTGAGGACTATAGGTAGCTCATATAGATCAATTGACCTCTTTGTCAACTCACGATTCGAACCAACTACCCTGTGCTAGGGATACCAACAGCAAGTAATAATCGAGTGGTGCTTCTTAGCTAGTATTTGAAATGCAAGCCATGCCTTGCTCCCGAATAGCTCTCTGATAAGTAAAAGGCTCCTACCAGCAGGAAGAATAGCAAACGGTGTCTCAAGCCAGCACTCAAGCATTGCTCTTTGAAGAAGAGCTGAAGCCGGCGTGGTCAAGATACATATACACCAAGAGGCTTCTTGTAGCGCCCCTTGTATATATCGAAAGGGAATTCGGCTCCGCGAGAGCATAGTTGTCAGCACTTCCGTACTCGCCCGCGAATCTTACCCGTGAGGCTGAGATTTCTGATGTGGATAACCCGACTTGCCCTAGTATAACGATAGAAATTCGAGATTAGAACAGGTTTAGTGTTATCTCGAGACTATGTTGTGTCTGGATGGGTTGTATTAATCGTCTCCTAGGTGAGCTAATCTATAGTTTCAGCTGCGCGATAAGTTATAGATATTGATGCAATAGAGTGGCTACTGAAATCTTATGTTTAATTATATAGTGTTCTTTTCTGTTTTTGAGAGGCCGTATAGCTAAGTATCTTATCTCACGCAAGGCCTTCGTAATAAGGACTCCTAATTCTATATCTAAGGACTCGGGCTTCTTCCATCCAGCCTTCTAGTTCATATCATGCCCGAATTACCTCGTTCTTTTATACTTTTGCTATGGATACCGAAGCCTCTACCTGTCCCTAGGATAGCAACTCGACTGACTGTCTACTTCGAACTCTGGTTTAAATTCTGAACGGAGCTTAAAATACTGACGATGCGAAGTATGATTGGGACCTAATAACCTTTGCCTTTATTATTATCGTTGGTGCTGTGGCGCTTTTGTTCGCTCTGGTTCCTATCGTCCAGACTATTATCGTACCTGGATAAGGGAGCAGAATGATAAATCGCTTTGCTATCGGAGAAAAGTGGTTAAAAGAGAGTTCGAGATAATGGAACTGGCGCTAATGGATATACGAGTATACTGTTATTACTCCTATCTTCCGTATGTAGACCCTGAGGAAGTGGGTGTAGGCGGATATTGATAATATCGAAAAAGATTATGACGAAACTAACTTTGGGAGCGATATTGACGAGATCTGCGGAGAGAGAACTAGGTATACGGATCCAGGAAAGCATAACGCGTGTCTAAATAGCACCGATGATAAAAATACTGAGAAGGACTCCGAGGGATTGAAAAGTGCTTTGATAACGATCCTCCGCTATTTTCTCCCAAGGCAGACCTCCGCTCATTCCGAGAACAGGCCTGCTGCAACCTGGATTGACTTCTTCCACAAAGTCGGACTGGACAGAATAGACCCTCGAGACGACTTGGGTAGACGGAAAGTCACTGCTGACTACCTACCCAGCGACCTCGTGGCCGCTCCTGCGTACGCGCAGATTGGGGTTATTGTCACAGCCGCTTCAACAACACCGGGTTGGGCGAAGTGGCCCACCGATCCATCGTCAAATTTTCCTGTGATCTTTGGTTACGGATTTCAGTTTGACTTCCGTCAACACCCAATACTTGGTGTTCTTGGAGCCTATTCGCAGTACAGCAAAAGACAGCAAGATCAAGACGATTCTCGCAACATCCCCGGTATCTTTGGACTCCAGTGGCTGTACGACAAGACCAAGGCGGGTAAGGACGCCCTTTAGAAGAAAGAGGAGAGAGAGAAGCTCTTGTCGTACCACAGCCTATCCCGTCTCAATGTGGCCATATCCCACTCACGCGCAGCCATAAAGGCCGACCGGCAATCTCTTTTTAATACCAGGCCCGACGACCCATTGAGTGTCATCAATCTGAGCACCAGCCATCACCGCGTCGAGGTATTAAGATACATGCTCAAATTGTCCAAGGAGGATATGCATTCCAGAGCACAGGGTGCCTTCATGTTGGACTATGGAGGCCTCTCCCACGAACAATACATGCCCATTGTCGGGCTGTTCCTAGCTTCCACACCACGATATGTGCCTACGTTATTCCCTACGGACTTGCTGAGCAAAAGGCCTCCTCTTACGCTTCTCGCTTTGAATGGACACTTCTGGACGAATGTCACAAGAGAAAGCGTCAAAGGAGACGACATGTCTGATTGGCCTATGTCGCTTCAGACCTCGGACTGGGACCAAAACGTCATTCAATGGGTCAATGATGGGATGGATAAATTGGGAAGGGTCAAAGGTGAAACCCTCGAGGCAGTTTTCAAGGAGACTAAACGATCAATCATCCACCGCTTGCAGTGTCAGGGAGTGGGCGCAACGAAGCCAGCTGTTGGCCTCAAGGTTGTACTTCATCTATGCATGAAGCTGCTTCACAACGACAAGACCTTTCGAACCTGGTTTTCCAAATATCATCCAGCAGTCGCGGCATACTTGAGACACATCATTCATCTGCAACTCCAACTGCTGGATCGCTGGTTCCTGAACTCCAACCATAACACATCCTCCACTCAGTCTCGCGCAATCCGCATTTGCAACACGACTCTCGCGTTGACGCTAGCGGATGAGAAGGCACCAAAGAAAGATGATTCAACCAGTCCAGTTCCTGATGAACTGGACCAGACTGTCTGGCATATCCACTCTAACACGCTCGAATGGATCGAAGACTTGATGAACTCCATTGGCCTCACTCCGGAGACTCTCGAGAGCACAAGAAGCGACTGGGAACCAGAAAAGAGCTTTGATGTCAAGAACCACTCAATCCAGAACACTGGGACTCAAGAAGAAGACTCTGATGAGGTCTTGGTACCCTTGGCTGCACAGATGAAGCCGCGCGATAAAGATCTGAAGTACCTTGCAGGCGCTCATTACAACAAGAAGTGGGAGCTGTTGAATACTCATCAGATGTTGGACAGGTTGGACAAGGTGGCCTCATCCAGGGCCGACAGCTCCTATCGGAAACGGCGATTCCAGCAACGTGATGGAGGAGATGTGGCAAATGAAAAGACAACTGACGATATGATCATATTCCGCTGTATTCTTATAGCATTACTTTTTCAGACAGCCCCAGATAACGCAGCGCTCATCAAGTCGGGGGTTTGGGAACAGGTTGTGGCTATTGTCTAGGGGGCAGGGTGTTGGGTGCGATGAGCAAGGACTGAGGCCACGATACTTGTAACTCGCTGTCTGCGATGAGCGTACCAAAGAATATTGTCCAGAAAACTAGTAGGAGATAACACATAGCTTAAAATGTAGACACCGTTACTGGCATCCGTTCCTGTTGAGAGCTCGTTGGATATTTCCTCATTTATGACGATGATGGCTTATCAGGAGAACCTGGCAGCGCATCCGTACAGATAGTATCTATATTCTGAGTTCTACTCTCTGAATCTTACACTTAGTTTTGAATTTGGTGCGCAGGTACCAAAGGAGAAAGGTATAAATCAGTGTTTAGTCCATGAGTCTAGCTATAGATTGACAGGGCCTTAGCATCATTCCTCCGCTCATGAAGAGATCACTCGAGAACAGACTCGAATTCACCCGAGATATATTTCCCCTTACTCCATTCTTCCAGTAATGCCCCGGCTATCGGCCAATCCATCAAGAAATCAAAACACAGCCCTCACAAGATCGACCAGTTCAGTGCGGTCTAGCTCATCAGGCAGACCCTAGAAGCAACTCTCCCGCAGTCGCCTCTATCAACCGAAAAGCCGATTTCGGCAGCAGCTTCTTGCACTTGGGACACGCCGGTTCCTTCTTCCTCAGAGTACTCTCCGTCAACTTCTGGAAGAGGCATCGTTTCCCAATAAAACACTTGCATTTCTTCATCCGCACAATCGGCTCTCCGCGATGACAACCGCGGGCGCCATGATCAAAGGGCTTGAACATGGCGCCCGGCGAGTGATCATAGTACTTCTTGTTGCAGACGGGACACTCGAGACGCGACGGTCCTTCCCAGTCGTCGACGTCCTCCGCTACGGAATCGATCAGGGCCCGCCTCGCCTTGTAGGCGATGACTTCCGAGTTCCACTCTTGGCGGCGGTCGTGGTAGTACTTCTGGATCAGCTGGACAAAGTACATGAAGGGTTTATGCGGCAACGATGCCTTGTCAGTCGAGCTTGCAATCTCGGCGAGATTTTCCAGCCCCGGAACGGTTGATGGACCGCGAAACACCAGGGGCATGATGATGCTGCAGAGCACTTTCACAGCGAGGCCGAACCGGCTGTTGGAGATACCGTTGTCGTGCAAGAGAACTTCTGCCATGAACTTGACCAGGTTGGCGCGCCTCGACATGGCGCTGGCCTCTAGGGTATGCGCGTCAGTCCACCCGCCGCCATACTCTGCGTTCTGCAAGACCAAGGCCGACGCCAGCTGCATGTGGTCGCGGACATTCTCGTCCAGCGTCTTGCGACGGCTCTTGACGAGGTAATTCGAAAACAGAGGCTGATGAGAAAGCCCGCCCCTGAAGTAGAGCTTCTGCGCTTGACAGAAGCCAGAGAGCACGGTATGTCGGAATCTGAACAGGTTCTGCATGGCAGGGTTCTGTATACGCATATCCGACTCGGCCTTTTCCCCGGCCATATCCGTGAGGTGCTTGCGGGCCGCCGTGGCCGGGTTGTAATAGAACGCCAGCGGGCCGTTCGCCTCGCAGGAGCAAGCGCCGACGCGGTGGTCGTTCTCCTTGCACCGGCGCTCCATGAAGAAGGCCCGGAACCACGACTCGCTCATCTCCTCATTCGTGACATCGCTGGAAGGGAACTTGCTCCGGATCCAGAGTAGGACGGAGTGGGAGTACTCGGTCATGTAGCTCTGGGCCCAGGCGTTATCCTGGACGTCGTCGCGGTGCCACTCGTCGTGCGAGGGGGTCACCCGAGGCACGGCGGGGGTCTCGCCCGAGCAGCCGGGGCACATGTAGCAGTAGAAGCTGGTGCGATTCTCCCATTGCTGTGCCGGGCAGGGGAAGATGTGCGAGCAGAGGATGTTGGCTATGACGCGGTGTCGTCTCTTGGGGGCATTAGGGCGCGGGCTGGCTGGGCAGTTGTAGAACTGTAAATGTTTGATACACATGGTTGCAGTTGATGGCGGATGAAAGTGTGACTTGTAGCTCGTCTTTGAGAATTTGAAGCCCGCTTTCACATTGGATGATGAGTCGACAACGCCAACTTCTGGTCCTTATTCATCTCTTAAGTTACCACCTGCGGCTTCGCATTAGCTCGAGTGTTGGGCAACATAACGTTTCCCAAGGGCGAGAACGATTCTAAAGATATCTATCACAGACAAGAATGGAAATCCCTGGGCTCAGCGAAATGCAGACCGTTCCTTCAATGATGGCAGAGCTCTCGACAGAGTCGGCGTCGCTTTGTGCCACTCTTGACGTCGACGTCTCTTTCTCACAGTCGCCCGGAATCGGTGCCATTGTGGACTCGTAGACAAAGAAGGACGTCGACATTCAATATTAGCAATCGGATGAATAAGGGGTATTTGACTGCGTTTGTAAAATAGTGATGCAGTTGGACATAAACCATCAAGGCTTATCCTTCTAGCGCCTAAGAGGACAGCTTGACTGATGAGAGTGTGAGAAGAGCTGTAGTGTATTGGTCTACGAAATTCACCTCGCACATCAGAAGCCCATTTTTGAGTTTACCGTGTAAGTCAGAAAGCTATGGGATAGATCTCTAAGGTGCAGGGGGACATATTTACGACTTGTTCTACAGTGATTCTCGTGTCCAAATTTTTGGATGCTTAGTTCAGGAGCCCGATGTCCTCAGAGTCTCCGAGAAATTTCACAAAAATATGACATCAACATCAGCAGTCTACCGTGATTGGCGGCTTAAATCCAGCGCAGTCTGCGCTTCGAGAGTCCACAAAGAGTCTGTGTTCTGCATCAACGCGGCGCAGTAAGTGAAGTAATCCCCAGCGCCAGCCTCCAACCTCCGGCCCCGGACAACAGACCTCTGGTTCAAAGTTTTCTCGTGAGTCCAGTCTGTTGCGTCGATATCATAGCCAAGTTTGCGTCTCATCGGCATTAGCATTTGCAGAAGCCAGATACTGTATCTTCAAAATGCCCCCTCAACGCCCCTAACAAATCCCGCACGATCAAGTTTGCAGTCTAGGATTGATAGTAGTGTTTGCTCCACGCTACAGGGATATCCCCTTAGCGAAAACGAAATGGTTTCCCAAGTCCCTGTCGTTGCCGTCTACTCCTTACGTGGGCCGTGATCCCCGTTGCTCGAGCCAACGTCGTCGATGCATGCGGTGCCAACCGCGATCGAAAATCGCCGATGTATCCTTGTCCGAGATCGTGTCTTTTGTGAGATCAAATAATTTGGCGCCCTATCCTGATGCTATAACGTGCGAGATCCGAGATTCTGGGACGGCCAGACGGCGAGGGTGCCGGGTGTCGACATGTTGGATCCCGCTGGACTCCGTTTCCAACGTCAAGCTGCAAGTGATGAGGCTCTTGTCCCGACGAAGGGGAACCCATATCCAATGATAATATAGATTTCGACTGCTACAGATATTGATAGACGAACCGTCTGTAAAAAGTCGGCTTTGCTAATGCCACCGTCGACTCCCCGACTCTTCTCTCACATCTCGCTCTCAGTCTAGAACTTGGCAGGGCGCTGGTCCCAAAACAGAAGACTTGTTTGGCCACGACCAACAGGTATGTTCACCACATGAGATTGTTTGCTCACGCCACTCACACAATCGTGCTTCTCCCCCGAGTCTCCTACTTTCTTCGCTTCTTGCACAACTCACAGGGGGAGGGAAGTGAAAACGATCCCTTGCGTTCGGCGAAAGTCCATGTTCCTTGTCCGTCCATCGCCGAATGCTCACCTTCATATAGGAACGCCAAATGTCCCTAGCAGTAACACAATGTTAGCCTGAATCTCCCTTCGATCTGCGTTTCTGCCCTTCTCTATTCTTTCTTTCTTTCCTCCCCCTACCCTCCCAGAAACAGACCGGGAATGGTGGCATTTCCAGACACTGCCAGCTCCCTTTCGTCAGGCTGTACCATTGTCGGGAACCTGGTGGTATCAGCCTGCATCCCATCAACAATGTCCTCACAACCGCAGACCGCCGACCCCAACGCACCGCTCTTCGGCGTCGCCCACAACGTCTCCCGCCCGGCCCTGACAGCCTACACCTGGGCCAACGTAGCCACCTCGTACATCTTCCTCTCCCTCCGCCTCTTCGTCCGCTGGCGCCGGAACCGGCACCTCCTCCGTGACGACGTCTGGATGGTCTTTGCCTGGCTGTGTCTCCTGACCATGGCCATCCTCCAGATGCAGCAGATGGACTCGCTGTGGTACGTCGTCGAGCTCGAGGCGGGCAGGTTCGTCCCCGCGTCCAAGAGGGAGGCGGAGTTGCAGCTGGAGCAGTGGTTGCGCTGGTCGTATGCGCTCACGTATCTCTTTTGGACGGGGTTGTTTGCGGTGAAGGCGAGTTTTTTGAATGTGTTTTTCAGGCTTGTTAGTCCCATCCCGTGGCTACGCAAGGTCTGGTATGGGATTGCCATGTTTTGTCTCCTTTCGTATATTGGGGGATGGCTTTCGGGGTCGCTCATTTGTGATACTCCATCCGACTACTTCCGGGCAGGTATGTTCACTCCTAAACTCGCGGTAGCAGTCTCTTGCATCTGATGCTTGTGACAAGGAAAATGCCTCTCCCCAAAGGAAGTCTACTATTACCGCTTCGCCATCTTCTTCGCAACAGCAGCCGACGTCTTTACGGACCTGCTCATCATGAGCCTACCCATCGCCGTTCTCCCCTCGCTCCAACTCGACTTTCGCAAAAAGTTTGGTCTTGCGGTAGCCTTCTGCCTGGCCCTCATCACGATCCTCACAGCCATCGTCCGCATGACGCAGGTGCTCAAGGGCGAGACGGTGGACATGGTGGGCCTGGCCGTGTGGAGTCTCACCGAGCTCGGCACCGCCATTATCGTGGGATCGCTGCCGCCACTAAAGGCTCTCTTGACGCGTGGGATGAGAAAGTATAACGGGAGCAGGACGAACCGCAATAAGTCGTACATCAACTGTAGAGGCGAGCCCAGTAACGGATACGGCCCGAATAATACGTCTCGGTCCGTCATGGTTGCTGAGTCGATCCCGTTGGACAACAGGCATAGGAGCGAACAGTTTGATGGGGGGATATATGTTCAGAAGACATGCGAAGTTCGTGTAGAGGGTGCTTCGAAGAGAACGAATGATGAGGAAGAGGGAGTTGTGACGAAGAGTTTTGCTGCAAATAGACCTCCATAGACTCCAAGAGTTCTCTACCGAGACTATGAATGATTACCAAGACACCACGGCCCACGACAGGTAAGATGAATAGAAATTATATTTAGGTCGACGCATCATGCTGTAATGCTGATTGTAGCTCTGTGTAGATGATATGGCGCCTTTGGTGAGAACGCCTAGTCGTCCGTCAGTCCGTCTCAATTTCGACATGCTGCCCGGCTTGTGTAACAAAAGAAATGAACTAAAAAAAACGCGAATGCAGACGCGGCGTAAAGCAGTAGGGTATCTTCAGCTCCCATCCTCAACTATGCCCAGATTCTCTGAACGCCACTTGTGTTTGTTTGTATACCCAAGAAAATTCGACAAAAGAAATAAAGGATAGCGCCCGTATCCATGAAATGCAGTAAACCATGCTCATACCGAGCCACGTAGCCTCACTCTTCCAACACCTCTCGAAGTGCGTCGACGTCCACCTGGTCAGGCGACACTTTGCTCGGAGGACCGCGACGCTGATGCGCCGCCAGGTATTCTTGGAACCCTGGAATAGCACCGGCTTGATTGATGCCCGGCGGTCTGAGGAATTCCTTTTCCTTCTGCTTCTCTTTCCCGCTGCGTTGTGTCGGTGTCGGTGTAGGCGGTGCCTGCGTGGGTGTTGTGGCTCGGCCTGCTGCCGCGCCAGTCCAAGGCCTCCAGCTAACCCATCGACCTATTCCTCCAGAGTTCTGCGAACCTTGAGAATGGGTGCTTGCTGGCGAAGCACTTCGAACCGGAGTGGAAACCATCCTCGACACCGGTCGCCCTGCCAGACTATCGCGAAGCAAGGCGTCACTCCGTCGATCGCTTCCTCTCGATATCGTTGACCGTGCCGTGACTCCGGTGAACACAGCATCGGCCCCACCCAGAGGGCGAAGGGTCAATTGACTCGGTCGTACTTTGAGTGTGTGAATGTCCAAGCCTCCCGACAGCGACATGATTGACTCGTGGGAGACGGCACGGTGTAGACCTCTCCGCGGTAGATCTTCGTCCTTGGAGAATGAGATTTCTGTCTCGGTCTCGGTTTCTGTCTCTCCGTGGTCCTCATTGGAAGTGAGTAACCCGGGCACTTCCTCACCGCTGTGATCCTCTCTTTCTTCCTCAATCGTAGACGAAATAGGCTGAGAGACATGTACTGTCGGGGCAGCTGGCGGCGCTGGCGAACCCAAGTTTAGGAACTTTGGAGGTACAGAGAAACTTCGAATTGACACCTCAGAAGGGTGCTTGTGGTGAGAGACCTTCCATGTAGGCGACGTAGGATCCAGGCTGGTCGTCGGAGACATGGGTATGTCCGTCTCCAGCATTGGGCGGTCGAACATGGAAAGACGAGGATTTGACTGAGGCGAACTCGGGACGGACGACGGTGCGAATTCAGAGGGTTGCTCTGAGAAGACGGACCACCGATTTGAGGGCGGCATCGAAACTGTTGACGTTGATCCCGTGTGAGAATGCGAGGCCCTGGGGGTCACTGGTGAGGGGCCGGGTCGCCACACGGCCGGCGGAGGGGTGGACGATCGCGAGACGCTGGCGGGAGAGAAGATTGCCGGGTTCAGGCTGTGACGCTTCTTCTTCTTGTTCTTTTCGGCAACATGGTAATGGTGGTGGATATGCACTTGCTGGGAAATATTGTGCTGTATCGTCTCGCTCAATTCCGGCCCGATTTCAGCACGCAAGGTCGACGCAGCGCTGGCGTCTTCCTCCCCGATGGGTTGATGACACATGAGCTGGTCCCTCATGGCCTGAATTTCGTCATTTGAGTTGAGAAGCATTTCCCGTAACTCGGCCATGCCCAGCTGCAGATTAGCATTGTCCTGCAGCAAGTCTCGGACAAAGTGAGATACCACGTTGGTGGCGGGTTTCCCGTTGGTGAGCGACTTGGTGGCGGCAGCTCCCTTGAGGCGTCCGGCGGCAAGGTTCAGTTCCTTTTCCATCTCACGCTGGCGCTCCACCCGGCCCAAAACCTCGGCATGGCGTTCACGCTCTTCCTTGGCCTCCTTTTCCATGCGCTCCAGCTGTTCCTGAAGGTCAGAGATGCCTCTCTCGGCCTTTCTCCACCGCTGCATGGCGGAGCGGGCCTCAGATTCGGTCGTAATTAAGGTGTTTTGCAGCCGCAACTGCTCCTGTTCGAGAAGCGCAATATGCCTCTCCATCTCCGCAGCACGAGCTGCCGCGCCCTCGAGACGCCGCACTGCTTGGTGAGACGACAGCAGGGTAGCCTCAAGGGTCTGGATGCGGATATCGGAATCCTGAACCGTGTTGTTGAGCATTTCGAGCTGATCTAGTAGGGTACGGTTCTCTTCGACGGTCCTCGCGTTCTCGGCCTGTAATTCCACCTTTTCGTTTTCCAACTGCTCTATGCGGCTCGTAAGGGACATGCGATCTCGTTCGGCATCGGCCATGTACGCCTCATGACGAGCAAGTAAGGCCTGGAGAGGGAAGGTCAGCGACATGGCGACATGTGCAGCGAGAGAAGACGACGGTGCATTTGGGACGATTCGCAGGTTTGGTAGCGAACGCAGAGTTTGCGGGCTGGAACGGTGCCGGGACTCCCCATCTTGAAGTTAATCACGGGAAATGAGGTGTTGGAATGTCTCGAGAGATTGGCACGGGCTTGGGGAGCGGCACGGCTGGAATGTTTCGACGGGTGAGGGAGAGAAGGGAAAAGCTAGAAAAAGAAGAACGAGGACGCACCTTGCCCAACTTGGCGGCGGTATGAACATCCTTTTCGACAGTTTCGAGCACGGAGCAGCTATGCTTCAAATAAGCACAATCGTTGCGACCGCAGCAACATCGCATTCTGGACCCCTCGTCCGGGCGGGGAGCGGAAGTTTGGACGAAGTCTGCCATGGGATCGGCGTCGCGAGGACGGGCGTCATCGGTGTTGCGGACGGTGTCGGTGTAGTCGTCGGTGAAGTGGGTGTCTGCCGTGTATCGGTAGGCCGTGGTGTTCAGGTCGAGGTCTGTTGTGTCGTCTTGTTCTGGGTCTGCATCTGGTTCCGGTGGTGTACGGGTCCCGAGTTCTGCCATCGTTATTGCGGCAGAGTCGTCGCCACGGCGGACAGCATGCTGAGAGCCCAGAGGCGAAGGCACGGACGTTGGGATCGGGGCTCGGGGTGCCGGTCTGGGTCGAGCTAGTCAGGCGCAGAGCTGAGCGAGAGCGGGGAGAACGAGGTTATCCGTAAAGGGACTATTCACGAGAGACGACTGTGGGAGGGGTCTCTCTTTTGTGAGTTGTGCGAGCCAGGTAAGGCGGGTTTATGTTGGAGTTGTGACTGTGTGTGTGTGTGTGGGTGCGTATTGTTGGCACTCTGTGTTGTGCGATTCGTACATAGGTATTATTATGGCCGTTGAGTTGGCGGCCGGTGACGCGATTGGGCTCTTGGAGGCCACCTGCAGCGAGGAGGGGACTGTATTTCCCAAGGTGTGATTGTTATCGCGATGGACTGGACGCCCAGGCGCGACTTGGACCGGTTCTTTGAGCTTGCTGACGGGGGCGACAAGGGTGTCTGTGGTGTCTTGGTGCCTCTTCACTGGAGAAGACAGGCCCTGGTCGTGGTGAACTGTCTGCAGCAGCGCAAGATGACAGGGGACAACCCAGACCAGCGGGGGTAGTCTGCAGTTTCTTTTGAGAGCATGTGGTCCGAGCCGAGATTGGGCTCATATAAAAAATTGGAAGAAAAAAATAATCGTCAAGAGGACAACGGTGGAGGGTTGGGTTCGTAGGTATGCCGTAGGAAGGAGGGAGCTATTAGGAAGATGAAAGGCATCTATTCGCAAGTCTGGCTCGAGCAAAGACGTGCCTGACGAATACTGAGTAGAGACCAAAGAAGGGAGAGACAAGATGACGGCGTAGGGATGGTCATTCCAGGTCGGATGGGAGTTGGGACGAATACACAGTAGGAGGGTTGGAACTTGGAGGGGAGTGGAGGGGATGAGAAAAGGTCAAGGATGCGGTGTCGCGCCTGAATCGGAAAAAAAGAGGTGGTGAGAGCACCAACCAAAGAAAGAGAATGGGAAAGGTGAGATACCTGAATCGAGACAGTTTCTTTGAGAGATCGTATGCAATCTGAAAGTGCTTTCATGTACCTTTCCTTTGGCCAAAAAAAGACGGACAGGAAACGTTCGCGTCAAGCCAAAAACCACAGGTGCAACCATTGCAGGTCGCACTTCTTGCCATGCTTGCCCAATCTGGCCCAATCTGCGGTAGCGCATCCTCAGTGCTCCACTTGATACCCGCCAATCCAGGAACACTTCACCAAAGGACCACGGTACGGAGGTACCTAGACCGATACTCCACCCGCACAAGGTACTTCATCCAGGCACGTGCCACCTCAAGTACTCTCGGTACGTATCCTGCGTCTTGAGACTTTCCCTCCAATTACCTGGAACCTTACCTCACCTTGCCTTACCTTGGCACCTTACCTAGGTGAGGGGAGTGTGGGGAGATGTCAAGGCCAGCCGTCACAGAGACATTCACTCGCAGCGAATGAAACATGTCTGGCCCTGCCACGATGACGACAGACCTCACCCTCTGCTTGCAAGCAAGCTGGAAAGTAGAAGCACTGAAGGTGGTGAATTGGCCAGTCATCTCAGGTCCTGTGACCAAAGAAACCGGCCGCATCTTGACGGCCAGCGCATCAACACACCACCAGCCACCACAATATCTTCCTAACCGTCTTTTAAAACGACTCGAGCAGATAATCACTCAAGGTACTTTGTGGACTAGCTAGCATGTGGATGGCACGTTTACAGGCCGGCACGATCTGGAAAGGGCTGTCCTTGTGTGGCGCCGCACATGAAGTTGATCGGCATTTGCTCGAATCGGGATGCCCCCGCGAACAACCTTCATTCCTGAGTCGAGACGTGTAAACTGACGCGAGACCGCGTTATTTCACAACAAGGAAACATGGCAATCTCAAACTTTTTCGACATAAATATGGAGGGATATACCAAGAGTTTTTCGATTTTGACCTTTCGCTACCAATTCCAGCAAAATGTTCCTTGAACACCCACCTCAAGGTAGATTTACTTCAAATCCTTGCAGGCCCATAACTGGTCTATCAACCGGGATAGCTATAATATGCACACGGGGACGAGGTAACAACTTCGGTATATTTGGTAGTAAACCCACAAGGGAGTCTATAGCAGATCACACATAAGCATCGTGCTATTGAATTCGACATTAAGAGAATGATAAGATGACCATGGGTAGAATGCATCGTGATCCATCGGACCATCGTCTACCATGACTTTCGGAGTTGGTTCCCAGACGGGCGGTTCGCCTGCCTGTGCCGGGTACCTGCACTGGACCTTGAAGTACCTTAGGTACCTTACCTCCACTGTAGGTAGCCTGCGAGGTGCCTGCCTGAGGTGGTCCGGCAGCGTACCTGACGCCGCTGTGGGTCCCCCACCGGCCCGGTACACCGACTCCACCCGCACACCACTTTCGGCTCACCACAGACGTCAACTCAGGAACGCCGAGCTCCAAAAACCACCGTTGCCTCAACCTCCCGTCTACCGCACCGCACCGCAACGCATCCCGGTTCGAGGTCACATCCCGATATACCCACGGGGACAACCTTACGGTACGGTCATCTTCTACTCCAATCCACTCATTCACCGAATGACGCAACAATGGCACCTTCAAAAGAACCTGCGTCCGTGTCTGCTCCGGTACACACCAACACGGACGCCAGCAAAACTGTCGTCCGCGGCGCCTCCCTCCTCATCATCCTCCAAATCGCCTCCCGCGCAGTCACCTTTATTGCAAACCAGCTTCTCCTCCGCTTCTTGACGGCCCGCCTTCTCGGCGTCTCGACACAACTAGAGGTCTACTACCTTTCGGTGCTCTTCTTCGCCCGAGAATCCCTTCGCGTTGCCGTCCAGCGCCAGGAAACCCAAGGCAATGCCACACGTCATTCCTCCAACAACAAAAAAGATGACGACCCAAGAGCTCGTATAGGTCGAGAAAGCCAGGCTGTCATCAACTTGGGCTACCTCGCCGTCCTTCTAGGCTTTTTTGTCACCATCGGCCTCGGATGGTTGTACCTCTCCTCCGTCGACTCGTCCACCGCCCAGACGCCAAACTTCCTCCTCGCCCTCCGCCTCTACGCCCTGGCCGCTATCCTTGAACTTCTCTCGGAACCTTGCTTCGTTCTTATGCAGACTCGCCTTCGATTCGGCACCCGCGCCACGGCCGAGTCCATCGCGACTTTCCTCCGGTGCACCGTTACCTTTGCTACCGCCTTTTGGGCCTCTAGGGCTGGCGTCGAGTTCGGCGTGCTCCCATTCGCCGTCGGTCAGCTCTTCTATGGCGCAACTCTGCTGGTAGTCTATCTCTCGTCCGCATCTCGCCTCGCCCGTGCAGATGGCTTCTCTCTCCTTCCAAAGAGCCTCGCTTCCACATCGAGTGGCGGACGAGAGGACTACCTCGCCTCCTACTTTTACCGTCCCACCGTCAGTCTAGCCTCCAGCATGACAGCCCAGAGCCTCGTCAAGCACATTCTCACGCAAGGCGACACCTTTCTCGTCTCGGTCCTGTCCACCCCCAAATCGCAGGGCGTCTACGCGCTGGCCAGCAACTACGGAGGCCTCCTGGCCCGTCTCGTCCTCCAGCCCATTGAGGAGAGTAGCCGCAGCTACTTCAGCCGTCTGCTCTCCTCCCATGACGCAAAGACCAAATCGTCACCGGCCACCAAGGACACAGCAGCGACAACCACGGCAAGCCAGCATCTTCACACTCTCCTCAAATTCTACATCCTCCTCTCCTCAATCATCGTGAGCATCGGCCCCGTCGCCGCGCCCCCGCTTCTCTCACTCGTAGCAGGCCAACGCTGGGCCTCCGAGGGCGCAGGCGACGTCCTGGCCGTCTACTGCTACTACCTGCCCCTCCTCGCACTCAACGGCGTATCCGAGTCCTTTGTCGCCTCCGTCGCTTCCGAGGCCCAGGTCCACCGCCAGTCCGCCTGGATGGGCGCCTTCTCCGTCGCCTTTGGCTCGGCCGCCTTCTTTTTCATGCGCGTCATGGACCTCGGCGCCCAGGGCCTCGTCTACGCAAACTGCATCAACATGCTGTGCCGCATCGTGTGGAGCCTCGCCTTCACCAAATCGTACTTTGCAGGGTTGGAAACGCCGTTTGAACTCTTTTCGCTGCGGCCTAACGCCGTCACCTCTATCGTCTGTCTATCGGCGCCGCACCTCATCAGGAGGGTCGCCGGTCTTGCCTCGGCGGGCGTGTCTACTTCCCCGTTCAAGGACATCATCGCCATCGGTCTAGCCGCCGTTCCCGTCGTACTTTTGATGTAAGCTTTTCCCCGCCCCATGTGATTCGCGCCGCTGTGGCCTATTGTGTGCGTATGTGTGTGCTTTCCCCCATCTAACATGACATCAGACTCTTTGCCGAACGCAGGTTCCTCCTGCAATGTTACAACTCGGCACGCAAGCCGAAAGCAGCGTAGGCGTAATTACCTCGGGGCGTAAATGGAACATGTAGAAATCCTCCCGAGAAGCCAAAAAAGATCAAAAAATAGTAACAAATCAGTCAAACGTGATCTTGGTCGCCTTCTTCGTCATATCAACGTCCTTGAAAAAGGCGCCGTAGGTGCTATGAGCCTTCTTCTTGACGGTCGTGCCGAACTTGAAGAGGTCATCGGGGACCTCCTGCTTGGCACCCTTGAGGATGTTGATCAAACTAGTCAACTTTGTTAGCAACCATGTCCAAACTGAGGTTTTTCCAGGACGCAGGGTGACTCACGATCCAGAGTGCGCCTTGTCGTGCTCGGTAAACAGGGTAATGGCCTCGCCAGTCTTGCCAGCACGGCCGGTACGTCCAATTCTGTGAACGTAATCCTCAATCGTCAAGGGGAACTGCAAAAAAGTTAGTTTTGAGGTGCTCGATAGACGTTCAAAAACACAAAAAAGACTCACAGTCACGTTGACAACCAGCTTGACCTCGGGAATATCCAAGCCACGGGCAGCAACGTCAGTAGCGACCAGCACAGGCGTGGTACCAGCCTTGAAAGCCTCCAAACTCCTCGTGCGCTGCTCCTGGCGCAGATCGCCGTGGATACCACCGACGCGGATGCCGCGCTGCTGCAAAAAGGTCTCGACGCGCGTGGCCTCCTTCTTGTACAGGCAGAACACCAGGATACGGTCATCCTTCTTGGCGCCCGTCTGCCACTGCTTCAGGATCTGCAGCAGCCTTTGCTCCTTGGCGCGCGGGTCGACGACCTCGACGCGCTGCGTGATGCGCGTGTTGGCCTGCAGCTCGACGGCGCCGTTGGCCGTCTCCTTACCGCTCGAGCCGATGGTGATCTTGACGGGGTCGACCATGAAGGACTCGGCGAGCTTGCGCACCGACGCGGGCCAGGTGGCGGTGAACATGACCGTCTGGCGCTGCTCGCGCGGCGGCATGTCGCCGAGGATGAGCTTAATGTCCTCCTCGAATCCCTTGTCCAGCATGCGGTCGGCCTCGTCGAGGACGGCGAATTTCACCTGGCTGAGGGAGATGGTGCCGTCCTGCATGAAATCCTTGAGGCGGCCGGGGGTGGCGACGATGACGTCGGCGCCGCGGTTGAGGAGGTTGCGCTGCTCGTCCTTGGAGGCGCCGCCGTAGATGCAGATGCTCTTGAGGCCGAGCAGGCTGGACACGTGCTCCATCTGCTCCTGGGTCTGCATGGCCAGCTCGCGGGTCGGGGAGACGACGACGGCCTTGATGCCGCGCTTCTTGATCTTGGAGATGCCCTCGACGAGCGGCAGGGCGAAGGCCATGGTCTTTCCGGAGCCCGTCTCGGCGACGCCGATGACGTCCCGGCGGGAGAGGGTGTAGGGCCACGAGGCGGACTGGATCGGCGTGGGCTTCTTGTAGGCGGAAAAGGGGTTCTTCTTGACGAGGTCGGTCTTGGGGAGGTGGGCGAACTCGAGGATGGAGCGGAGGGCGGCGTTGCTTGTTATCGGGTCAGTAACGGTGATGTTCTCGGCGGCCAGGAAGGCGTCGAGGTCCGATTGGGGCAGGGCCTTGAGCGCCGCGACCTCCTCGTAGCCACCGAGGATGGAGGCGGTGGGAGTGGAAGCGGTGGCGGCAGCAGCGGCGGCGGGAGCTGCGGATGTGCCGTTGCTCTCGGCCTCCTTGGCCTCCTTCTCTTTCCTCTTCTTCTCCTTCTTCTCCTTCTTGAGTCTCTTCCTCTCGGCCTTGTCCTCCTCGGTCTCCTCCTTGGACTCAGTGGCAGCGGCCGGAGCCTCCTCCTCCTCGACCTCAGCAGCCTTGGCCTTCTTCTCCTTCTTGCGCTCCTTCTTCTCCTTCTTCTCCTTCTTCCTCTGCTTCTTCAGCTCTGCCGCCTCATCGCTGTCGACGTCGCCACCCGCAGCGAGGTCCTTCTTCTGCTTCTTGCTGGTGACACTGGCCTCGGCCTCGGTGTCGGCGAGAGAGCGCTTCGTGGCGGCCATTGTTGCGGTGGTTGGAACGGGGATTGACGCAACAATTGATTTGGAGGGAAATTTGCCGTGAGAAGCAAAGACTCTTGGGGGGGTTTTCGGTCAGGTCGCAAATCTCAAAGGGCGGGAAGAAGGGGGAAAAAAAAAAGAATTTTGTTTATCGATAGGCTGATAACGGTGCTCCCGCCATGCGACGCGATAATGCGATAAGATACTGAGTATCAGATAAGCGGAGGACCCTGCGCTAAGCCGATCTCGGCCAGTAGTCCCCGCTGGCCCACGCCGTTCCAGAATCGGAGGCCCAGGACCCACTCCGGCCCTTAACAGTCCAGGATGGCTCCACCGTCCCCCGCCTTACACGTCCGCTTCACTCAACAGCTTCCCCTCACGCTCGCCCACCTCAGATGCCAGCTGTTGTCCTCGCCCAAAGACGGAAATGCTGTTGCCTGAGCCTCTCGGTCTGCAAAGCATTCCTTCAGACGTTCCTTCACATGCGGCAAACTGCTAATGCGAACGGCTGCATGATGCCCCTGGCTAAGGAACATACAGTGACGGCTAGGCTCGGTCAGCTTACAGCACTCATTTGGATCAAATGAGGTACTTTCGTCACTCTCGTCTCTCGTTCAAGTGAACGAGCCAAAGTTTAACAAATCAACGGATAGAGCTATCCTCAAGAAGTCTGGAATGTGGATACAATAGCCTACGGCGTCGGGAGTATCCCAGGAGAAGAAGCAAGTGAGGCCCAACAGCGCGACGTTGATAGACGGCACGTAGGAGTACACACCAGCGGGCCACAAAAAGGTCGGGTTCCGGCCGCGGGCATCGCGGCCAAACACAACCAACCAATAACCTACGCTTGGCGTCAGCAAGACGGCCCAACCCTGCAAAAACGGGAGCTAAGCATCTTCTGCTTCTTTTCTTCGAGGCATTTCTGCAGCCAGCTAGCGAGCAGAAGTACGTACAGATCTGTCGTTCAACCCTGCAACATCCCGTTCCCCTCCCAATGGGGTTCATCGTGGTGCCACATGGGGGCATGGCGGTCGAGTATCAACCACACCGCGGGAGACGGGGGTGACGAGGGGACGAGGGGGGCGGGAGAGCACATCATACTGCAAGAGGCAGTCCGCCCAGGGTCCAGCCATTGGCGATTTGCTCCGTCACACACAGCTGACTGCGGCGTTGACCCTTGTAACTGCCTTTCTTGATAGCTGCCCACGTTGCATGTCTACGCTGGCAATGCGGTCCTCTTGTAGAGGAGGATGTCGGCAAGATGCAGAGCGGGAGAAGAGAGGCGAGAGAGACAGAAGCATAAAGGTATGGGAAGATGGCATACCTCGACAGAGGGGCCACCTCCCTGTTCCCGCTCCTTTCTTCCTCCACGCCCTCAATATCAGCTACACATCCAGCCATGGCAAGCTGCCAGGTGCAGGGCCAGCCCGACCTCTACGGCCTGGGCATCCGCGTCGCCTTCTACATCCAATGGTTCGGCGCCATCGTGATAGAGTACCTCGACATGGCAGACCTCCCCGACATACGCCTCATAGGCCTCCTCTTCTCCGCCGCAGCCTTCCTCGGCCTCGTCATACGGCTCTCCGTCGCGGCGGGAAGCGTACAGCCGGCCGACGTCTACATAGTCCTTCTGCTCGCCATGGGCATCTACATCCCCCTCGTCCCGCTCTACCTCTGGAAGGCGGTGACGTGCTTCAATCGGTACTGGGATCCGTTCCGCTGGTCCAAGGAGACGCCGAGCCCGGCGTACAAGGGGCTTAACTTTGCTTTGTTGCTGGCTATTTCGTCGCTGGGCGTGTGGTATTGGTGTTCTTTTGTGCCGGAGAACGATTGTTCGCGGGAGCAGTATGGGTTCTTCTTCAGCCGTGTGAGTTTGGGCAATAAGGCGTTTGTGGCGTTTAATGCCATCATGTACTTTGTCATTCTGTTTGTGTGTTTGCTCGTCCTTCTGCTCAAGGTCGGTTGGAAAGTACCCTTTTGGAGGGAGAGGCGGAAGAAGCGGAGAGTCAAGTGAGTGACCACCCCTGCCCAAAGATGAAAGAGGTTTGGGACTGACAATGTTTCGTGCCTAGGAGAATGCACATCATGGCGATCAAGGAGTTGAAGACGCTGAGCAACATCGCCGTCGCCGCAACACTTACCGCGGCCGTCGAGCTGGCCGTCGTCTGGAATCACATCTCTAACGTGAACAGCGTTGCGGATGTGGCGCAGGTCTTGCCTTTGTTTGTCAGTGCCGGCTTCGTGGTCCGGATCCTGTTTCTTCATTTCGCGGGCGTACGTGACGGGTCGGATTCTTCAGAGGAGGATAGTGATGGGGGTTCGCATAGTTACATGACGGAGTCTCAGGGCGGGTTGCCGCCGGCACCGCCGCCTGTCCATCCGCGGTGATGGCAGTGGCCGTGATTGTTGACTTGGCGTTGATGATGATTTGAACATGAGGTGTACACTATCGTTTCTATATACCAAGCACGCAAGACTTATCTCACCACCTTGATCAGAGCGTGGAAGATTTGTTTCCAGAAACACGCGCAGAGTCTCGAAATATATGAAATACAGATCTCAAAGCAACGTACATCGAGATGTCTAAGAAATCACAGCCTATACTCCTACATCCAAGACTATGCTATTCATGACGCTTCACAATGGTCCTACGCTCTCATGACACAACTCATAGCAACAGCCAGCTTAAACGACATGCACTCAATTCCCAACCTTGCCCATCCACTCAGGAACACTCGTCAACCTCTTCATCTCATCAACAGTCTCATCCCACAACATCCTCTGCAACCTCCAACTCTCATCCGAAACAGCGAAGCCCTCTGGTCTACACATCACTGTCAGTTAAACCACAGCATATCGCAAAGAAAGAAAACTCACTCCCAAATCTCTTTATCCCCCAACGTCTTTCCATGCGTCTCTCCGCCCGCGACAGCAACAGCATGAAGCCCAACCCACCCAGCCACCTCCGGCCTCCTCGCCCTCACAGCCTTCACGGCATCAGCGATGAGGCGGAACG